CTGATGTAATGACCAGTCATAAGCAGATACAATGAAAGAAAAGCTCGAACAGTGACTTATTTTGCAATAGGAGAGAAAGTCTCTTAGTAATCAAAACCTTCACGCTGAGTAAATCCCTTAGCAAACTAACTGAGCTTTATACTTTCAATGGACCCATCAAAATAGTGTTTGATCTTGTACACCCACTTGCATAATGGGTTTTCTGAGAAAGACGAGGTACTAAGTCCCAAGTATTATGATGGGTGAGGGCATTAAGTTCATCGCCATGGCTTATCTCTATGAGAGTGTGAACAGCCTCAAGTAATAGATGATTCTCGATCTACAGATATATGACTAACACAAATTCTATGGGTATGAAAAATCTACATAACTGACATATTTGATGTAGGTAGGGGTATCTGATGCTTGTAGGTGGGATAGTCATAATCAACTATCCAATAGGTGGTCATGTGAGATGAGAAGATCGTCATGCAAAGGGTTTGGAACTGGCCTGGGTAAGGGAGCTTTGAGGAGATTCTATGGGGTATTTTCAAGGAGGAAACTCTAATGGATTTGCACCTGACTGTGAGATTCTGTGAGTATATGAGAATCTGGAGCTGTTGGTACTTCATAGGTGCAAGAAATATGACAAAATCAGATTGTGGCAGGGGATTGTCTTCAAGGAATTTGGCCATTGTGTTTGTTCAAAGCTGGAACTGCATCTTTTATAAAAGTTCTTCATGGAAGATAACATCCGAGATACTAGGAATTTATGAGTGTTAAGATCATATAGACGATATCCTTTTTGGAGCATAGGATATCCCATGAAGATACATGGTAGCTCGTGGCCCAAATTTGTCGTTGGTCCCAACAACTTTGGTAACATAGGCAACCAAACACACGGAGGTGGCTGAAGTTCGATGTTTTGCCAAATAGAATCTCAAATGGTGTCTTCATGGAGCACTCTACATGGATACATTGATCACGTAAATAGCTATGACACACATTCGCCCAAAAGGAAAAAGGTCTATTGGCTTGGTGTTTAAGGGCACGGCTACTCCAATAAGTGCCATGTTTTCATAACTACTCATTTTGTTAAGGAGTATAAGTATAGGAACTCTCATGTAATACCAAAGGATAAAAAAAGTGAGGAACAATTGAGATAAAAGATTTTTTTGCATTATCAGAACAACCCTTTGGACAATGTATTAAAATGGGTAGAACCTGGCTAGGAAATTCAATGTGAGTAATTGTTTGGGCTTTTGTTGCATGAGAAAAACCCAAGTGCCACAAGAAAAATCATTTACAATAGTAAGGAAATACCTAACCCTCATCATATTTGGTCCAAATTTCTGGTGTATGAGTGCAAAGGGACAGTTGGATGTAGAAGTGCTAATGGGAATGTGTTTCGAGATTTTTTAGCAAGTGGACAAATTGGACATTTGGCTGAGGAATGATGCAGCCTTGATGCAAGGGACCGTTATTGACTCTACCTAAGCCCATCAGTTTTTCAGTCGAAGTGTCCTAAAATTCACATTTTGTAGGGAGAAAATGTAAACGACAGTTATTATCCCAACAGAGTTTAGACACAGGGATGATATTGAAATGAAATGTTGGAACACATAGTACATTTTTAAGCACTAAAAGTTTGGTTAAATGAACACTGCATACGTGGGTTGTAGGGGCAATGTTGCCATTGGGCATATAGACTGAAGTGCTGGTGGTATTGATGGTATAGGTATGGAAAATTTCAGGTCGCAAATTATGTGGTCACTAGCTACTGAATCAATTATTGAAATATCATCTTTAATAAAATTAAGACAAAAAGATGTACTTGCGCATAATGCTATTGATGCTTGTAAAGCGTTGTTCAACATTTAGAGGAGCTGAGTGTATTGTTCTAGGCTAATCAAGGGTGCTAGAATAGGATCTCATGAAGAATTGCTAGATGCTTGGTGGGCTAAAATATTACCATTTTTGTCCTTGGTAGGACATCCATGAAGCTTCCAGCAGTGATCCCGATTGTGATTCCGGCGTTTGCAATAGTCACAATAAAATTTAGGCATGTCTTGTTTTGAAGATCTAGGCCCATTAAAGCCATTTGACCCATTTGCTGAATGTGGGCTGTTATATGTGTGAAGAGAAGAAATAAAACCAGGCCCATTAACACCATTGGACCCAGTTTGCCCATGAGAAGAATTTGGGCCGTTAGATGATTTGAATGAATCCTGGCCATTCAGTCTGTAATATAAATAATCACATTTACTCATTTACAACCCTAGCTACTTGAGAGGTTTTTCATTTGAGAGAGAGTTTGGTGATGGTGAGGGCAACGACCGAGAGCCGGCAAGAGTCAAGGCTTCCCCTTGCCGAGAACCTGCTTCCCCTTGCCGAGAACCTGTTGTTGGCTTTCCTCTTGAACAGTCAATTGGAAAGTCTGGCAAAGAGATGGTGGTGGAGAGGAAGCAAGCATTTGAGTGCGAAAAGGTAAGTAGGCTTTGTTGAGGCCAAGTAAGAATTTGTTAAGGCGTTCTTGATCTCGGATCCATTGGTATTAACACAGTGTTTCTAGCAGCCTGGTGAGTACTTCTTTGGCAACGTCTAAGGTGTTCCAAACGATAGATAATCTGTTGAAATGTATCATTATAGACATATTGCATCATTTGACTTATGATAGACTTTGCCAAAGAGTGAAGGTCTGGGCTAGATCCAACTTTCCATACATCTCTTTCATTTATGCCCATATTTCGATTGTAAGATCAGTCGGTGGTAAGTTGGCTGCCACTTTGATGAGACATAACTGATGATTCATAACAAACGAGAATATTGCATTAGTTCCAATGGTAGTGAAAGTGGTCGTCAATGGGTGGTGGAATGGTTATGTCATCGATGAAGCTCTCTTTATCCTTTGTGATAAGAGAGTGATGGAAATCTTTGGCCCAAGTGGCATAATTTTTAGATCCCATCAAAACTTACATGATGAGAATGGTTTTAGGGCCATCGAAGGTCGGCCCGCATAGGATGTCACCTAGTTTAGGCCGACAACTGGCAGTTGGAATCATTTGGATGTTGAAGGGGAAATAGGTCGGGTACGGATTTGAACCCGATTGGGAATCCTAACCCGGTGTGGGACCAGAAATCCAAATGGGTATGAAAAGGGGTTAGGTTGAGGTGTTGGCTTTGGGCCAATTTGAGTTGGTGGGTTGGGCTTTTTTGGCCCAAGGTGGGGTTTGATGCATTTGAGCCATGAGGGGGGTTGATATGTGGGGTTTGAAAATGTGATGTTTGTAGTTTGATCATCTACCATTTTGTTGAACTAAAGAGATAAAAATTAACCAAGTTTTCTGTTCAAATTTCAAGGACAAAAAAGAAAGGTCGATTGAGTGAAAGCTTAAAAACAGTGTTCTGAAAACCAAATCGGACCAGCTGGTCGGGATGGTTTGACCAGGAACCGGCGTCATCTCTGATCTGATTTCCCCTGAAAACTGGTATTCTTAATCAAATCGGATTAAGCCACGATTGGACTGTCAGAATAATGCAGAATCGCGGTCCAATCATGAGTCAATCCCACTGGATTCCGGCATGTTCAAGGGAGATAACACCACCATAATACTTGCTGGCATCTCCACGACAAAATCCATCCAATTTCAGTGGCCGCCGTCCAGCCTTTCGTCGCTTGCCGTCCACCTATTGTTCACACAACCGTCGGCCTTTCTTCTTGATTCTAGCAAATTCTGACACCGTTAGAACACCTTGACACCACGATAAGATTCGTCGGCACCTCTATATCAAAATACCCATCATTCCAAACTTCGATTGGCCATCGATCACCTTCCACGTGTTGTTCACGCAACTGTCGACCTCCCTTCTTGATTCCAGCAAATTTTGGCGGACCACCATAAGATTTGTCGGCACCTATACATCAAAAACCCCATCATTCCAAACTTTGATTGACCGTCAATCGTCCCTACCGCCACCACTCATCATTCTCTTCGCACGACATGGGTGTTTTGGATAGATTTCAAACCTTTAGGACTCATGCTCAATTATTTAGTAGTGTTTTTTTTATTAATTTCAAGCATTTAGAGACTAAAATGTAATTTTACAATATGCGGTCAAACCAATCGATCCAACCAATCAAACCGGGAACTAGACCCTTGAACAGGTCAAGGCCCAATCCAGTTTTTAGAACATTGTTTAAAAAGAGAGCTCGATACCATGTCTAAGATTGAAGAAGAAGAAGAAGGCAAGAGTAGCAAGTGTTTGCCAGAGAATGCCTAAAGAAAGAAGAAAATAGAATGCATAGAAAGTTTCTTTGTATTTGTATATCATATATGCTTTGTACAATGTCTATTTATACATGAGGGATAATCTATAAAAGGCAATGCATATATCTTGCCTTAATATCATAATCCCATACAATCAGGGATGTAATGAATAGTAAATCATGAATGTTATGAAAACGTAATATTTGACATTAAAGTCAAATATTTGTTTTCCTAATTCAGCAATTAATATCTCCACATAAAGTTTGGAGTTGGAGGCTTATATATATATATTAGCTTAAAATCAGAAAAGTTAAAATATATTTAATTTGGTCTACCATTCACAACAATCTTCTGAATTTATACAAATTGATAAATGAGTATGGGTTATAAGGCTATGTACACATTTGTTTCACCTTTTCAGAGAGTTCAACCGGCCAACAAAATATACAAAAACAAACGCGAAAAATAAGGGGAAAATGAGAAGAACAACAGCTATAATATGTCGTAGATCATGGTGAAAACCGAAATATTCTTTAACGAAGGAAGATATGCTTTTTGTTTCTCCGAATGCAAGGATTTCCTTGTCGATATCTCTATATTGTGAGGTGATCATAGCGTTTAGCATCCATGAGGTAGGAGTTATATAATACAACCAAGTCCAACACTTTGGAATTTGCTGCAAAAGAATATCAAAGTTTTCAATTCAATTCATCTATAACCAATTAGAATCAATATTAGCTACTATCTATCATTTCATTTGGTGTCAATGCCAGAAGGAGCATGCCCAAATAATTGAAGTACAACAAGGCCATGAACATGCCATAAAAAATCCAGAAAACCTTATACATCGACCAATAAAATCCAATCATCGGATAGGTGATTAATACATACACAAATGCTTGAACAAATATATAAGGAATCTCAATTCCCACCTACAAAATCCAGTAAGCACAAATATTAAGATAATTTTATCCAAGTAATAAAATGATGTCATATACAAACGCTTTCACTTACATAATAAATCTGTTATGAAGATTACTGTACATGTGCAAATGCATAAGCCCATGGCGAGTACATCCCTGCAAATTTTTCACGGTACATGATAGTTCGCTCTGTCGCAACATATGATATAATGGTTGAGCAGTTATTCATGCCGATGAAAATCACAGCAACATAGAATGCACCAAATATATTGAACAAATTCTGCTGGTCATCACTGGCAGATTGGATTAAAAACAAACAAGAAATGAAATTAAGTTAGATCCCGGCAAACTATAGATTTCTTGAACAAAAAGTTATCCCACTGAGGTTCTGCCTTCATCAGAAGAATAATATAGAACAAAAATGGATGAGAAATACATATCAGAAGTAATGAAGAAACTTACATGTTTGTTCCTTGGTTCCAAAAGAGTGCACCAAAAAGAAAAGATGTTATAATTACGTGCACAATTCGAAACAAGTTGTATGAAGGACTTCTCCAGTAAGACAAGTGTTGTTTCCATAGACAACACTTGAATTGCCCCCAGAAGTTTTGCACAAAGTGCGATGAGAAATCTAGATCTATTGAATTAGGAGGTGGAGTACTCAACGCCCTTACAAGCGCTTTGTTTTTTCCTGCAAGTAGTTCAATATCCAAAAAAAAAAGCTCATATAAATAGAATTTCACATGTAAGTCCAATAATTTAAAATCTTTGTAATCAAACTTACTCATTCAGAGCAGAAGTTTTATATATTTCAGCAAAATCTAGACCAAGTTCAACTTCTGCAGATGGAGAACTGAGCTCTAATATCCACGTTGCTGGATTATAGTTATCCCTGATCCTCGGTACCCCAGGGATATTCTGTCAAAAGAAGCTGTTTTTTCAATGATTTATGAAAGATGTCTACACAGAAAACCACAAGAAAAATGTATATGAAGAAACGCATAGTATAGAACAAGTACATTGATAGCAAACTAACCTCAAAATAACCTATAAGATTTCTTGAATGCCTTCCCAATGCTCCAGAGTAGATGATACGCCCACCCCGTTTCAGAAGGATCAACTAAAATTGAAGATTGAAATGTTATTGCATCGGTAAAGCCTTGTAACATTATGAAGTGATGGCAAGAGACATGAGAATTTCACAATCAGATTCTGAGAACTGGTTTTACCTCATCAAATACGTCAAATATGTCCATACTTGGTTGGTGGATAGTGCAAACAATTGCCCGTCCTGTATCAACTGCATTCGTCACAGCTCGCATGACAATTGCTGCTGCTCGTGCATCTAAACCGATTGTTGGTTCATCCATAAAGATTATAGAGGGGTTGGCAACAAGTTCAATAGCTATTGTGAGGCGCTTTCTTTGCTCAGTTGATAGACCGCTATTACCTGGGAGCCCAACTAAAGAATCCTTAATTTCATCAAGCTCAATGATCTCAAGGACTTCATTTACAAATGCCTGTCAAATCATGCCATAGCAACTTGAATTAATGCACATTACCTTATACCAATCAGAAGAAATGTTCTAGATAATTTTTTATTACAGCTTTTATTTTTGAGTCAATTTGAGGAGATAGGCGTAGCCACGCAGAAAAAATCAGAGATTCTTCGATTGTGATTTGAGGAGAATGTATGTCAGTTTGCTCACAGTAACCTGAAACTCTAGCAAATGTTTCTTGAACCTTAGGATATCCACCGATTTTAATATCTCCCTCAATATAGCCAGTAGTTTTTCTTCCTGCAAGAACATCTAGAAGTGTGGTTTTTCCAGCTCCACTAACCCCCATTAATGCTGTAAGAACAGCAGGCCTTAATGCACCCGTAACACCAGAAAGTAGTTGAAGTTTCTTGTCAGCAAATCCTTGTTCTCTCATTTCCTAAAACCAAAGTGAAACATTAGAGAATTAGATCTAATGCCTATAAATAAATATCCTGCAATGAAAACAATGGCAAATACAGAACGGTTAAGAGGAGTACCAAAGGAGTGTCGACAAAGTACTTCACATCCTGAAACGTTATTGTTAGTGGCTCAAAAGGTAAAACCATCCGTCCTGAGAATATTGCAGAAATGTCAAGCATTGAAGTGGAAACAAAAAATGACAAAACAAAAATTGGCAACAACATGACGAAAGGAATGAACCTTTAAAAGATTCTAGATGAGGAAGATTTCCAGTCTTTTCTTCTACAAGTTCACCATCATTGGAACTTTGACTTCCTTGCATCTTGGCAATCGTTTCCTCTGAAATCATGGCAGGAGATGAACTGCGAGCTGCATTTGCATTCAGTTGAGATAAGAAACTGATGCTGGTGCATTGTTTCTTGAATTAATATATGAAAGCTAGAACAAATAACTTACACTTCAAGAAACTTAAGGCCAAGACAAAGCCAGCGTTAAAAAGTAAAGCAAATCCGATTAAGGCACCAAGTGATATCCAGAAGTGATATCCTTCATAGTTTAGTCCGTGGCTGTCAAGTATTTCTTTCCTTATTGTAACATTTGTAGACAGCATCTATAATAACATTAAGAAGCACATAGTGAAATGAGCTTCATTTCTTCACATCTTAATTGGTAGATTCATACATGCTAATGGGTTAATTTGACAGCAAGAAATAATTTAAACAGATGCTGAGTACTGCAGTATGATTTTTTTTGAGTAATATTGTGTCTCAATTCATTAGTTCTCTGCCCAGATAGATCCTGAGTACTGTAGTATAAATTAGAGGTACCAATAACGTTAGTTATGGGAGACTCACCTTTTGCCACCGAGGAGCGAGAAATTCATTTACAGAAAGGCCTATCTCTCCATATGTAAGTGGGGAAACCCAAAAACCCCACTTCAACCAAATTGGCATAGAGGCTACAGCCAATAACACAGCATAAGTGTATGATTTTGTTGATTCTGAAACTAAATTGGAGAAGGTCTGAATAGCCTTACGATGTTTGATAATGAAGCCACCAAATATCGTGACTAATAACAGTGCAAAACAACCAGCTGTTGTGGCAGCAGTTACAGTCTGGCAGACTGATGCCAAGAATTGGAACATGGATAACGACGTAAAGTGCACAGCAAAAAGTAGAATGAGCTGACGGAAGAACCTAAATTAACACATTCACTCATAATTCAAAAACCAGAATCTAACATTTACACCACAAGATTAAAAAAATCTTAAGAATTCAGTAGAATGATGGATGACACAAATTCATGATCACAAAGTAGGTAAAAATGAAGCATAAATTAATAAATGGATTCAATGCATTAAAAAAGACAGTGTTCTCAAGTGAAACTTACCTTGAGGCCTGAGGTGTGTATCCAATGACATAGTAGGTAAGACATGTCCATGCCACAGATTCAATTACTGAAAGAGGAATTTTCAAAATAGCACTTGGAATTGCATATGCCCAAGCAGGGTAAAACTGCATTTCCTTCTGTTTAAAGAAAACCGGAAGTCTTGCAGTAGTCAGACTCAATTCCGGAATGCCATCAACAAGAAGTGTCATGAGTGCAAAGAACATGTCTCCCATGTAGTAACTGGCATGAACAGTATCAATATCCATCCGAGTCCTCAAAAATACAGTCGTTGTGATAACTGCAATAATAATAATCTGTAACAAGAAGTTCCTCACATGTTTCAAATTTTCCAGGCTAGTGCACAAAATGATATATGATGAAAGGGTATAAAAGTATGAATCTTAACCTGTACAGTTTTGAATACATAGATAAAAGAATTTCTCTTCATAAGAAGAAATTCCCTTGACATGCAAGCTTTAAATAGTTGCCATTTGGAAATAGAATACATGTCGAATGAAAGAGCAACCTTGTGGCTTTCCGACTTATTGAATGGCACTGAGAGATCCTCATCAAGCTTCTTACCAAGAGAAGATTCCTTGAATTTCCTGCAAAACATATCAACTGAAACATAATTGTAGGGATCTTTAATGCGGTACCAGTATTGCGCTTGATCTTTTCTAGATATCACCTGCCAGTAACAAAGAATTGAAGGTAAAAGGGTGAAGAACTTGTATTTTAGCATGGAAAAGAAATGACTATAAGCTCCTGTAATGTTACCTCCTGGAGAAAGTCAGCTACGCCTTTTCTTTCAGGACATCTGAATCCACAGTCCTCGAAAAACTCTACAACTTGATCACGTGGTCCTTGATACACAATTTTCCCTTCTGCCATCAAAATGATGTCGTCAAAGAGTTCAAAGGTTTCCAGTGCAGGCTGAAGAAGTGAAATCAATGCAGTAGTATCTATGATATGCACCATCTGCTCGAGACAGGCAACAATCTGATATGCAGTTGAACTGTCTAAACCTTTCGATATTTCATCCATAAGTAGAACCTTGGTGGGACCAACAATCATCTCCCCTGCATAAATCAATGTAAAAATTTATCCTTGAAGGTACATCATAGTACGCATCTAATCCTCTGAAGTTATCTGACGAAACTTTAAACCTTTATGCTTAAATTACCTGTAGTCATTCTCTTTTTCTGACCTCCAGAGATACCTCTTCTCATGACATTTCCCACTGTTGTGTCAGTACAGATGTCAAGTCCAAGAATCTAGGAAGCCACAAAGACAATTAACAAATTAACTTGAGGCGCTTGCAAAGCTACAAATCTACCGAAAGAATTATGGTTACAACCAAATTAAAGAGAATTACCTTCAAAACATAATCTGTTTGAAGGCTTCTTGTTAGACCTTCGACTGAAATCGCCTGTTGAAACAAACCATTGTCATGAACATTGTTATCTCAGTTTGTTAATAAAACTGGATCAATCTAGACAAGGAAGCTAAAAGTACCTTCTTGTAAGCATCTATATCCGTATCTGGAACAATTCCTGCCTCTTTTTCTCTTCTACTGACCTCCATCATAATATCTGCACAGGAAGAAAAAAGATATATCTATAGCTACCAGTTACTTGTGGAAACTGCTAAGGTAGCTGCAACTAAGAACTCATTGATTTAAACTTGAGAAAAATCTACCTGCTCGGCTTGTAGTACCCTGACATCGAGCAGAAAAGTCAAGTGTTTCCCTCACTGTCATTTCTGCTATATGCAGGTCTTCCTGGCTTATATAAGCTGAAGTTTTCTGAGGAACAAACTCATCTAGCGTGTAACCATTATAGGAGATTTCCCCTGTCACCTGTGAAGCAAAGGAAAACAAATAGGACATCAAATTATTGTTTCATGAACAGTTAATGGGATCAGTCTTCAACAATCAATATCGGAATTCAGTAGTCTAGATTCTCATCCAAATCAAATGTGTGTCTTCGATATTCGATATGTAACAGTCCAATAGAAATACAAATGATTAAGTATTAAGCTGTCTGAAACCTTTAAAGATTTGTGAAGATTTCCTGCAAGAGCTTTCAAAAGGGTAGTCTTCCCACAACCTGGGGGCCCAAGCAGAAGAGTTATTCTGCAATAATTCAAGCACAGTTAAGTACACATTCGGTTTCATATCACCAATCACAGAAATTTCTGCTAGAAAGAATCAGTCAGTTCTCCTAGAAAGCATGTCAGACTGAAACTGTTTCTTATTCTACATTAAAATTAGGAGAGCAGAACCCACCAGTTGTATTCACAGGTAAAATTGCCACAAACAATAATATTAAATCTCACAAACCTTCCAGGCTTAATGATGCCACTAACATCATTAATGATGTTTATCTTTGCTTCTGTTGACTTGGAACCTGGAAGCCTTGAAAAGACCTGTGAAACAAAGGTCCAATTAGCCGATAAATCATTTCCAATTTGCTTGTAATATACCATATTTAACACCTTTCCAGAAATAAAATTGTAATGCAAGGGCTAATCAATTCTCAGAAGATGAAGATACTCACAGAAAATGAAGATTTAAGAGAATTCCATAGAGTTGGGATTGGCTTTCCCTGAACAATCTGACTCTCAGCTTCCACCCTCAAATTCTTATACCTCACCTCTACAGAGGGCAATTCTACACCAACTCTAAAAATTTAAACCACGTTATCCATCACAAATAACAAATTTAGCTTTCAGACACATTAGTTAAGTTATCATCCCTAAGACAGTTCTACGCCAACTCTATAAAACTGAAATCAGATTACTGATGTATAAAAGTCAATGCAATCACTAACCAATTATAAATGAAGGGCGTTGGGTAACAAATTGAGCTTTAAGACATATCAGCTAAGTTATCGTTCAACTCGTTTTTAGCAAACCAGAATAAGAGACTTACTTGTCAATTCTTTTTCTGATTTTTCTCAATAAGTTGAGGTTATCATGCTCAATGTGCTTGATAAGCTTCTCAATAAATGCATGCTTTTGAAGAGGGCCAAGCTTGGTGACATCAACAACACTTTTTTCTTCACCATCACTATCAAACAAAGATGATTTCAACCTTTCAAAAGTTGGCAACCTCTCAATAGCCGGCAATTGCAAAGCATATTCAACATCAGCATCGTGATCATCCCTCACTGAGCTTAAAGCTGAGCTGCTTCTGAAACTTGATGCATGGAGCCTGAATGAAGACCTCAGGCTCCTTCCAATCTCTGCCAATTCAATTCTCAGTGACTCTATTTCATCTGAACCAACCGTCTGAGCCATTTGGCAAGTTTGAAGTTTCTTTACCACGTTATTACATCATTATGTTTAGCTTTAGTAGCTATTAAACTTTGACATCCTTACAAATTTTATAATTTTTAATTAAAAAAACTGAAATTTTGTCCTATAATATTAGATAACATGATAAATCATTAAATGTGTAATATTAAATGATACAATAAACCATTTAACGTTATTATCTGATAGAAGATACTATAAATTATATAGAATCTAAATGGACTAATATTAGTCAATAATATAATCTTGCCAAAAAAATTGTATAAAATAAGAAAACGAAAAAAAAAAGCTGTTTTTTCAATATTTTATGGTTCTTTTAACTCTAAAAGTAGTGCAACATTTTTCCTGATTAATTTAGGTTAGATTAATTCTTTAATATATTGTGTGAAACATGATAAGTATTTTCATTATTGATTTATTTAGATTGGATTAATTCTTTAATAAATTATGTGAAACTGGACAAGTTGCTTATTCTTATTCAACTGAAAAAAAAAAAAAAATCATGGAGTCAAATTTAAGTCATTTAATTATTATTTTTTTATATTTTTATATTTGGGTTCTGGATATTCTTAGATATTAAAAATATTGAAATATAATTCAAATTTTTTATTATTTTAGTTTTTAAAATTTCTTTCCAAAACATAAACCAATCCTGCATTACGTTAAATTTAAAAGCTAGTACTATCTTTTGTTTTGGATTCATTATTTAATAAATAATATAAAACGTGACAATTTTTTTTTTTTAGTGATGAAATCAAGGATTTGTTTCGACTTATTCAATCTCGCTAGATATATTTATATATTGCTGGGTATACTCAAATCAACTATGATAATCAACAAAATAGAAGTTAATTACTATCCCAATAAGGTTTGATAGAAAAACATTTTTTTCTCTCTAATTTTTGGAATAAATTAAAACAGTGTTAAAAAAAAAAAAAAAAAGTAATGAACGGTAAGTGGTTTTCATCAATGGAATGATCATTTTAACATTTAAGAATTGTAACAATAATAATACGATCAATCATTTGTCCAAAACTAGAGGAGGGAAAGGCTCGTGCCTAGGCGTTCTTGGCCAGGGACTAGGCCCTCAATGTCTGGGCCCAAATCATCAAGGACCGATCTTGGGCCCATGAGATTTCTCAAGGCTCGGACCGGTCCCTAGGACTGATCATGGGTTCATTTAGCCCTTCTAATTTTTTATATCTTTAGGGGCTAAATATAATTTTTAAAGGGGTTTATGTAATTTTTCAAGGGGTGATTTGTAAACTTTTTAATTAATTAGTAAATGAAGATAAATGAATGGTTTTAATGGTTTTAATTTAAAGAGATAATTTAATTTTAGCTTCGCAATGTGAAAATTTAATTTGAACTTAAACAATTAAATAAATATAAATAGATGGTTAATTGATTATAAATTTATATGGTTTTAATTTAAAGAGATAAATTAATTTCAGCATAAATATAATATTCACAATGTGCAAATTTAATTTAAACTTGAACAAGTAAACAATTAAATAAATTTGTTTTTATTAAATTATTAATTTACATCGTCGAAATTTACATCACTCAAATCTGTGTTTTTGAAGAAGTTGAGTAGTTCAGAATCTTCAGGGTGGTACTGTAGTCTTTTGTCTACATGAGTCCAGTCTTGTAAACATGTAATGACTTTAACCACCTCATTGATAAAGAGCATCTTCTGTCTTCCATAATGCAGCCATTAATTGAGAATGTCGAGTCGAATGCAATCGTGGAAACTGGCACACATAAAATGTCACGTGCCATTTGGGCTACAATGAGGAATCGACTTGCATTTTGATTCCACCTTTGAAGCACATCCATCTTGCGTTTCTCCTTCTTGGTCATGTAGGACATGTCCGTTTGCAGATAACGTTGTAGCTCACTTGGTCCTTGTATGTACGCGTTGGAGCTGCTACATCCACCACCACCAATACTAAGTTTCATATATGTCCAGATGCTCAATCCTTGTTGATGAATGTCTTCATCAGCTTCTTGCTGCTCGTCTTTAATGGGCATTCCACTGTACCTATTCTAATACAAAGAAAAAAAATCCATTTTTTTGTTAAATTCTATCAAATAAGAACTATAGTCATATTCTAAATATTGGCCTATCTCATTAACTATACAACTAAATACGTTTAATCTAAACCTAGGATCTACAATAAGGCCTAATCCATATAAGAATTGAATATCTAACTAATATTTCTGGTATTTTGCTTCCATTTCTGAAACAATGTCACTTAACTCTTCATTATATCTATGTCTAGCAAAAGTTTTACAAATTTGAAGTAAAATATCTAATGCTAAATTAGTGTAGGACAATAATTACCACTTAATGTATTAGTGAAATCGTAAAAAACTTTAAGAAATAAATGAAAAATATTACAAACCGTCCAATCAAAATCATTGACGACTTCATCCAGATAGTTCTTCCGGTTGATCAAATCTGCAATTTGTCTTGCAATTGGCATAGCTTTTTGCAACATCAAGTACGTTGAGTTCCAACGGACAGACATGTCACAACATGGCTTCTTCGATTGAACCGGCAACTCCTCTTGGTGACAATATTTGACATACTCATTCCATCTTGTATTACTACTGGCAATGAATCCTATAGCCGTGCGCACCCTATCAATCCTCACATGTATAGCTTCTAAACATGCTTTAACAATCTAATTCATGATGTGACAAGCATATCTCTAGGGAAAAAAATTTGCCTTCACCAAGTGGATCCAATTTCTTTTTAAATAAAGAAATTATTGGTATTAGCAGCTACATTATCAAGCGCTAGCACCACAACTCTTTCAGTTAATAAATAATCTTGCAAAACTTCAATAATTGTAAAATAAATAGTGTTAGCACTATGTTTAACATATAATGATTTAAAACCTATCAATTTTTGTTGTAAAACCTAACTATGATCTAGGTAATGTATTGTGACACTCAAAAAATTTGTCTTTGATCTAACAACCCATATGTCGAAAGTAAGTGCAATGGAAATATTTTGAAAATTTTCAAATTCTTTTTTAAGTTTATCACTTATTTTAGTATAAAGTCTTTCTATGTCCCTTCTAGTTGTACCTCTACTAGCAGGCCTATATTGTGGACAAAAAGCCTTTTTAATCATATCAACAAAATATGCATTTTCATATAAAGAAATGGGATAGTTCGTAGCAATTATGTATTTTGCTACTTCCTTGCATGCAGTCTATGCATTGAATTTCCAGTTTGAGAGAGTTGAGGTTTGTGGATTAAAATTAAGTTGAGTTTGTATTTGCTTACCGGTTCAGTTAAAGTTGAACATTGTTGCATTAATTAGGGGTGCTTCTTCTCCAAGTGTCACCTCATCATAGAAGTCAAGTTCTTAGCGCTGATCGTGGTCAGACAGAAATTGCATACCCCACACATCTCTTCCCCCAACCCATTTGGCTTTACCTGTTTTGATTTCGTGAAAAATTATCATACCCCAGACACAGCCCTCTTCATCGGTCTTATCATGGTGTTGCAGCTCGCTTATGTTTGACTGGATGCAATCCCGACCACCTCTAGATTTAGAATTGCTGCGTCTGGAAGGGGTGGTGAAAATAGATCAAACCCTTCCATTTCTTGGGTGGATGGAAGAACTGGAACATAATACTCATTTGGGGATGATGATCCTCCGAATCTATAATTTGGGGAATCCATTATGATAAAATAATAATAACTAAAATAGATTAAATTAAATAATATGAATAATAGATGAAATTGAAAAATGAAATAAATTGAATAATGAATAAATATAAAAAATATATTAAAGAATAGATTAAATAGAAGAGAATTTGAGAATTGGAGTAGAGAGAATGAGAGATTGAGAGTTGTGAATTGTGAATTGTGAGGAAAATGGATGGGAATCAGGGGCTATTTATAGTTTAGGTATGGAGGGAAAGTACAAAATAAACCTCCTCCCCTCCCCTCATTTGACCGTGCTGACCATTGAGCCAATGGTCCAATTTTTTTATTTTTTTGTAAAAAAGAAAAAATTAACCCCTATATTTATTGTTAATTTCATATTAAATAGGGGGTTTTGGATATTTTACAAGGGTTAAAAAAAATTGGGGAGGAAGTTTGGGCCTAGTGTGACGCCTCTCAAGCATTTCATCAAACACTTGGTGTGCATCACCCCGACACTCTAAAACTTTTAAAATACTCTTGTATTTGCTATAATCTTGTAATTAATACGGTAGTTGGTAGATGGTAGTTGATAGGTGGTAGTTTAGAGTTAACTAATCTCCACCATTGTGGAAGATTTAGACCGTCCATTGTAAGTTTTATCTACTATAAAAGGGGGAGGCCTTCATTTGGCCAAACCATCCAAGAATTATAAAGTTTTCTCTCATTAGTAAAGAGTTCTCTTCTAGCATCTCTTGTGAGTGAGTTTGTGTGAGTGTTCTCTTATTTGTAGGGCTAGAAACATGAGCGAGCAAGGCTGACTTAGGGCAATCATCGGGAGATTGGCACCTAAGGTCGCACAAATCTGAAGGGAAATAGTCGGGTCGTGACCTTTGGTATCAAAGCAGACCCGATCTGTCTTTCGATGTCACGTCAAGCACCCACGCAAAGGTGTCCACATGTGATTGTGAGTCTACATGAGAGAGAGGTAGACGAGTAGGTAGGGGGCCCCACCTGCGATGAGGGCGTCACATGATTGGGTGGGGGGAGAATGTAACGAATCTCACATCGGAAGCATATTGGGGAGGTCTTGGGCTTATAAATGGGGGGACTCCCTCCATCTAATAGGTTAGTCTTTTGGGTGTAAAACTCCCAACCCGTGACACCAGCCTTGGACTGATCCCAAGCCCAGGCCTTGGAGGAGGGACTAGCCCTAGGTTCGGTCCCTCCTCCCTTGGGCCTGGTCCAACCCTCCCAAGGACCAATCCTGGGACTGAGTTTTTGGGTCGAGCCCTTTGGGCCCGAGCTTAATTCCCACCTTTCCTAAACTTATAACCGTTGTTCGAAACTTCCAACTATTTGACCAAAAATTCTAACCCCAATAACACTATTGTAGGTTTAGCAAAAATTCTAACCCCAATAACACTATGGTTAGTCTTTTTAAGTGTGAAGTCACCAAGGGTTGAAAGAAAATGACGTAAGAAATAATAAGGGATACAAAAATCATCAATACTTCAAATAAAATCTGTTTTTTAATTAAATTATCTAAGAATATTGATGGTTGAGATTTATTCTTGCTATATTAGAAGATCTATTCTTATTTAAACTTGTTTATAAGATATATTAAAGATATTTTTAATTAAAACATTCTCTCCAAGGTATGTTTTATTTTTAGAATAAAATAAAATAAAAATTGCATAAAAAATTGGGCTCTCTCACATTTCCCAGGATTCTAATTTTCTAAGCACTCCTATCTTATATAAATATCTAAAATAAATCAAACATGCTTAACCTTTTAAAATTTAAATCAAATATTTCTTAAGGGAGCATCCCCTGATCATATTATATTTAAATATTAATCAGTGGGCTGTCTACAGATAAGCAACTAATGGCATTACCATTATTTGATTTTCTTATGTTATATTTATTAATTTATATGTAGTTTTTAGTAATAAAGAAAACTTTAAGACCAATTCCAACCTGCTTTTAGGGTAAATTCCTTATATATTATCTGATTATCTGAGTTTAGACTATTATAATATAAATTTTTTACACAAACTTTTGACACGTTGATTTGTTTCAATTCAAGGAAAGTTAAAACAGTCGACTTTAGTACCAATATGAGAACTTTTATGAAACTGGATTATATTGGATTAATAATTAAAATTTTGTGTTACAAATATATTAACTCGTTTTATAAAACCAACAAATTTGTGGATTTTGGTTTGATAAAGACTCTTAATTGTATTACTCAAGAGGTCTTTAATTCGAATCTCTCTTCTGTTGTTAATAGGGATAATCATTAGAGTTTATCTCAATCGGTAGTTCCAAGGTCTTGAGGATTAGTTGAAGTGTGTATAGGCTGATTCAGACACCCCCGATTATCAATAAAATAAAAACAAATTGGTGGAAGTGGGAGAGATGAAAAATGAAATTTCAAGGCAAAAATCATAAATGGTATACTATAACTTTAAGTCCTTAACAGTTAATTAGATCCATCCCAACATGAATATTACGTTGGATAATTTGTGTCAACTGTAAAAGTACATTGTGAGATATTATAGATTAACGTTCATCTTAAATTTGATTTTCTATCATCATTGAAAAAAATTCCAAACAATATATAATATTTTCTAATAATCGTGGATGTATTTCAAATCAAGGTTTTAAAACCTGACCCGGGGAGTGACCTGATCAAGTCATCGGGTTAGCCGGTTGAACCGTAATGTCATCATGCTGATGTCAGCGTGATGACATCATTCTGACATCAACATGACATATAATAAAATAATAAAATAATAAAAAAAGTGATTCAATTGATGGGTCGAACTGGTTGGATTGACAGTTCGTAACAAAAAATCGGTCCAACCGCGATTCAAACTGGGTCATTTGCAAATTTTGGTTTTTTAGTCGAACCAACCTGACTCAATCTCCAATTCTTGGTTCAACTAGTTGAATCGACCGAGCCAAGTCGGGTTTTAAAACCATGTTTCAAATTAAAAAATCACAAAACTTTTTATCCTGGTTTACTAAACTACATTCAAAACTTGAGCCTTTGTCGAACTCAATAATTTTTTAGAAGCAAAAAGCTATGGCTCTTGATCAATGTTTTAATAATCAACCCAAGGTGAAACCTAACAAAGCCTACTATTGTCGTCGATTTAGTTTTGTGATTTCTGATCGATTCACTCACTGGAAATCACTTCCGTCGTCAACATTATACTCACTGACCCTTCCTCTTCAAAAAGCCCTAACATCCCGGCCTTCAATTATTCACTGATCACCATCCCAATTTCTAGAGTTTTCAGTGAATAAGAAAATTGCTAACTCGGCCCAGTGAAGGCCCTAGGTCCCAGTTGAACTTGTCAGGCCGGGTTTTAAAATATTGTTGTTGATCATATAAATGCCTGTACGAGGACTTAAACCCCCAACTTTAGTTTTGTCATGCTTTTACAGCTTAAAAACATGTCAAGTCAAAATCCATTTTTGTTGTCTAGAAAAGGACTTCTTAAGAGAAAGTTGTTTAGCAATTAAAATATGTTGCTGTTGAAACTTGAAAGTGATTGCTGCAAGCTACCAAACTTGCAACTCCCGGCAGTTATGCCTCTTTTTCTGCAATTTACATGACAGCCGCTTATCTGCTGGAAACTTTAAAGCAAAGGGCCCCAATTTTTTTTATAGATTCTCTCAAGCCAGCGATCTTTCTTTATTCAATCATGAATGCATTATGGACATGTTTTATTGTTTTGTTTTTCTCTTTTTTTTTTCTTTTTTTTTTTTCCCTGGAAAGTCAGAAAGAAGAGCATCTCATCAAACAATGTTGAAGTGCTACTCAATTCTGTACACACCCCAAAGGTTTTTGGGTTCTTCACAACACTTTCATACACAAACAAATCATTTTCTTCATCTACAAATTTAGTGGCAAAAAATAAAAACAGAAAAGAAAAGAATCAAAGATCATCTCCCTCTCCATCCTCCATCTCCCACAGCCTAGATATCGACAGCTAATAATATTACGACAAACACAAGAATGTAAACATTGAAAAAGGAAAAAAGAAAAAATTGTAAGAATTAATCCCTGCCACCCCAACACATTATAAACTCCAACCTCCGATACCAGAAATGAATTGTACGATGAGATTATGTCCGCCTGCTCTCTGACCTTGAACCTGGATTATCACTACGCTCAGTGTCAGAACCTTCTTTTTGAGACTCGATCTCCATACTTCCTTGAGTTCTTCGGTGGTGTCTTCGGTCCTGAAAATCCAAAAGTTTTATTAAAGCTTAGCCACACTGTACTTGGAAGATATAGCAAAATGAGATATTATGCATAATTAAGAGCAGCAGAGAAAAAGAACTGGCAAATGAAACTTCACAAAAGTCAGCAAACTAAAAGTAATTCACTGATTTGATCAAGTTCATTGCACGGAAAAACTCTGAACATGAGATATTTGATCATTTAATTTTAGCATCATAGTAAAGATTTTAATGATGAAAGAAAATGCACTTCGGATGTTTAGAATCAATGGCGTATGGTAGTCGTTAGATGTAACCTCAACCATCTAAAGTGTCTTAATCCAATGGTCTAAAACTGTGTAAGAAATCGTGTACAAATGATCTAGTCATTGTCGGTGCAATTGATCCTATCTTATATATAACAAGAACTTTGAAGATCAATTAGAAACTAACCTCTCTTACTATAGGATATTCCTCGGACTCAAGCATGCGTACGACTTGGCCCATTTTGGGTCTTTTTTCTGAATCTGGATCAACACACCGCAATGCAGTCAAAAGGGCACGCTTTAGGGCTCTTGTCGACGGCCTAACCTCAATGTTGGGGTCTACGACCTCTTCAGACCGCCTGCTTCCAACCATCATTTTCAGCCAATCAACTAGATTTACCTGCAAGCAAAATGTTTACATGTTCAATCAGGAAATTGTTTGTAAAATGCAAGCAACTCCNAGATTCTCTCAAGCCAGCGATCTTTCTTTATTCAATCATGAATGCATTATGGACATGTTTTATTGTTTTGTTTTTCTCTTTTTTTTTTCTTTTTTTTTTTTCCCTGGAAAGTCAGAAAGAAGAGCATCTCATCAAACAATGTTGAAGTGCTACTCAATTCTGTACACACCCCAAAGGTTTTTGGGTTCTTAACAACACTTTCATACACAAACAAATCATTTTCTTCATCTACAAATTTAGTGGCAAAAAATTAAAAAAAGAAAAGAAAAGAATCAAAGATCATCTCCCTCTCCATCCTCCATCTCCCACAGCCTAGATATCGACAGCTAATAATATTACGACAAACACAAGAATGTAAACATTGAAAAAGGAAAAAAGAAAAAATTGTAAGAATTAATCCCTGCCACCCCAACACATTATAAACTCCAACCTCCGATACCAGAAATGAATTGTACGATGAGATTATGTCCGCCTGCTCTCTGACCTTGAACCTGGATTATCACTACGCTCAGTGTCAGAACCTTCTTTTTGAGACTCGATCTCCATACTTCCTTGAGTTCTTCGGTGGTGTCTTCGGTCCTGAAAATCCAAAAGTTTTATTAAAGCTTAGCCACACTGTACTTGGAAGATATAGCAAAATGAGATATTATGCATAATTAAGAGCAGCAGAGAAAAAGAACTGGCAAATGAAACTTCACAAAAGTCAGCAAACTAAAAGTAATTCACTGATTTGATCAAGTTCATTGCACGGAAAAACTCTGAACATGAGATATTTGATCATTTAATTTTAGCATCATAGTAAAGATTTTAATGATGAAAGAAAATGCACTTCGGATGTTTAGAATCAATGGCGTATGGTAGTCGTTAGATGTAACCTCAACCATCTAAAGTGTCTTAATCCAATGGTCTAAAACTGCGTAAGAAATCGTGTAAAAATGATCTAGTCATTGTCGGTGCAATTGATCCTATCTTACATATAACAAGAACTTTGAAGATCAATTAGAAACTAACCTCTCTTACTATAGGATATTCCTCGGACTCAAGCATGCGTACGACTTGGCCCATTTTGGGTCTTTTTTCTGAATCTGGATCAACACACCGCAATGCAGTCAAAAGGGCACGCTTTAGGGCTCTTGTCGACGGCCTAACCTCAATGTTAGGGTCTACGACCTCTTCAGACCGCCTGCTTCCAACCATCATTTTCAGCCAATCAACTAGATTTACCTGCAAGCAAAATGTTTACATGTTCAATCAGGAAATTGTTTGTAAAATGCAAGCAACTCCAATAAAAATACTAATAAGAAAACATAAATCCTAAAAGCATAAGCTAATACAAAAGAATCCAAAAGTAGTATTTAAACTCCAACAATTCCTTTTTAGTATTACGAAGCTATCTTGGAGACGAAATGATGCACTACAATATAGCCATTTAGTCGAGTAATATTATACACACAAACTGTTGTCATTTTTTCCTTTATTGTCTCATTATTCATCCTTACTTATTGAGTTGACTTTTTTTACTCACTTTTTTATTCATCCTGTGCTACAACAGTATGCATACAAAGTTTGTATGCATTATATTATGAGTTCTCACATGTTAAGACGGGGAAAAGAACAGGAGTTTGCAACAATTAAAAAGAAAACGTTTGGATTAAATGCTTGGAGGTACTCTACTGCTCGGAACAAGAGAAATGTTTTCCACTTTCAAGTGTAAACACTAAAAAGTGCCCTTATAGCGAAAATTTTCCAATTTATACTTTTAGTGTAGCTTAGTTTATAATATGTTCAAAATTTGCATTAGATTTCTGTTTGGTATTATATTTAAAACATTATGTCCAAGACATTAAAATTGAAGTATAATTATTGCTTGTATCATTTTATGCTTTATTCTTTACTATTAACACAGAAAATTAAGTATAATTATCACTTACTTAAATTTTGAAAATGAAAAAAAAAAAAAAAAAATTCTCTTGTTAAACGCAAGCTAAGTACTATTGAGTATTTAAACTTTTTTTATCTCCACTGTTGCAAAATTTTGTCATTTTGCTAGTACTATCCTATTTAATAAATGATAAACATTAGCTTCTCATGAAGCACATGAATGTAACATAAAGAAACTTGAAATAAATCATAAACATTAGTTTCTCATGAAGCACATGAATAACCAAAAGGAAACTTGAACATGGATGCATAATAACCCCATATGCAGCAGCTGAAACGAAATTCAGAAAAAGAGAAACCGGCCCTACTTAACCCTANAAAAAAAAAAAAAAAAAAATTCTCTTGTTAAACGCAAGCTAAGTACTATTGAGTATTTAAACTTTTTTTATCTCCACTGTTGCAAAATTTTGTCATTTTGCTAGTACTATCCTATTTAATAAATGATAAACATTAGCTTCTCATGAAGCACATGAATGTAACATAAAGAAACTTGAAATAAATCATAAACATTAGTTTCTCATGAAGCACATGAATAACCAAAAGGAAACTTGAACATGGATGCATAATAACCCCATATGCAGCAGCTGAAACGAAATTCAGAAAAAGAGAAACCGGCCCTACTTAACCCTAATAGGCAGAGAAGATTGACTCATGGTAATGATCATACAAGTCGATTCATTGGCAGAAGTGACAGAAATATACATGTACGTGTTCAACTAGAGAAAAGATAAAGAGGAAAATACAAGCAACTTCAAAAAATCCCACAGTTAAGCCAGCTAAAATCAGTTTATACAGGTACAGATGCTTCTCCATTTTCTGTTTAATCGAGATTGATATGGACCCAGTAAATCAAAAACTTTATGCGAATTTGGTTCGGCCATGTTTTAGTATGCAAGGTATCAGTATTCATTGACAGCCAGCGGAGCATGAAATGTGTGGCCAACAAATCATTTGGTTCTTGCCTCTAGAGACTAAGGGAACTTGAAGTCGGCATCAAATACGACATGAAATGCTGAGGGTTTAATAATTCGACTGATTTAAGTTGTTAAAAGATTGTTCCGTCTAATTAAGATGTCAATGATAAGAAACACAGAGAGGGACCTACAACACAGACACCGAACTTTCTGTAGTCAAAAGATTTAAATGCATCAAATAGAAGAGGTATCAGAAGGGGGCAAGCTCAAGCAAACTTCAAAAGAGTAAAAGTTGCTGCAGGTTTTATCCAGGTTGTGTTTTCCAGTAAATCAGGACACTCTAGAAGTCCAGAAAATGATTTGTCTATCAAGAACAAGAAGGTATAAATTCTGGATACCGTCCAGTGACCTTCCAGAGACTGCAGGGGATAAAATATCATAAGACTTAGCACATAGCATGTACGCCAACGATTATTCTGAGTTAGAACTATCTCTAGCTCCACTAATAGTATGATTATTGAAAAATGAGAATTAAGATTTTGCAAGGATCAAAGATGCCATTCATATGACATCAACAAACAATCATGTAGAATTATATAAAAACTACCAGTCAACTTAAGTCACATTACTACACAGATTTTAGATAACTAGAACTTGAAAGCAGTAAAAATAAATTATGAAAAAATGTGCAATTACACACCTCATGGACAGGGCGACCATAGTCCACAGGATCTCTTCCAGTAATTGCTTCCAAGAGCACAACCCCGAAGCTATAAACATCACTTTTTTCATTCAATAGGCCAGTATTTGCATACTCGGGAGCCACATATCTGTAACATTATGGGAGAGAAAAGTAAAGGAGCTTATGAGAAAGAAACGGACAACAAGAGGTGAAAGAAACAAAAAATTACTGACATAGGAATCCTGAATTTGGGAAAATGCTTACCCAAAAGTCCCCATAACTCGAGTTGTGACATGGCTTTTCCCAGCACCCAGTAACTTAGCCAGGCCAAAATCAGAAACCTTAGCATTGAAGTCGTCATCGATCAATATGTTGCTTGATTTAATGTCTCGGTGAACCACTTTTGGCTCAATGGCCTCATGCAGATAGGCAAGACTGCAACAAGTATATCATGTCAAATGAGAACTAGAACGCGAAAAACTGGTGTTAGTGAAATGACTTACGCTTTAGCAGTGCCAAGGAGAACCTTCACACGGGCCTCCCAAGTAAGATATCCATGTTGACGCATAGCTCCATGAAGCCATTGTTCTAAGTTTCCATTGTTGACATACTCATAAACCAAAATCCTGTGATCAATGTTACCAAATGAAAGCATCAGCTTTTATACTTGCTCAGTAGATAATGATGTGATAAAACAAAAAAGAAGATTCTTTCAACTTTTCCTGTTTAGAAATTGATTATTGGTAACTAGAACAGATCATTTTGCAAAAAAAACTGTAAACTAAGTTAGATAACAACCTATAGTAAAAGCAAAACATACCTGTGTGTTCCTTCAATGCAGTACCCCAGAAGACGAACCAAATTTTTGTGGCGAACGTGGCCTATGGCCTCAACTTCCACTCTAAATTCTTTTTCTGCTTGGCCCCTGAAGTGAAGAACTTAACAAGTTCAATTAAGGAATAATTCACACGAAGAAAAAGAAGAAACCGATTTATTAAAGTTAGGAATTGAGAGTAAAAGTTCCGAAACTCACAAGTTGTTGAGAATCTTCTTCACTGCCACTGGAGTGCCATTAATCAAATTCCCCCGATAAACCACTCCATATCCACCCTCCCCAAGGACATTGTCCTTTGAAAACCGATTGGTTGCAAGCTCAAGATCCCTCAACGTAAACCAGTGACCCCAACCCAAATGAGAAAACTCAGGTAGGCCAACTAGAGGAGAAGGAGCAGTAATGGGATATGAAGAAGAAGGCTTGTACACACTGTAAGTGCCCGAATCATCACCTGATTGAGACCCTCCATCTTTATCTAAGTGATGAAATGAACCTGACTGACTACTATTATCTCCATTCTTCCCTTTCCCCATTCCCAGATGAACCAACACCTTATCTGACTCTTTGTCACTCGATTTGTCATGAATTGTAAGAAGAATACCATCACGGGGGACAAAATTACTCGTCGATACTTGCTCCACCCTAACCTCCTTAATTTCCTTGGAAACAGCTGGTATTTGGCTAATAGGAAGGTTGTTTCTTGCTCTTCTTGATTTCTTCCGAGACGTTAAACAAAACGACAATACAGAGAGGATAATTATGATGAATAATGCAACAGAAATCCCAATTACCTCCCACACTTTTAGACCAAAAACACCACTTTTCTTGGACAATTCAGCATTAAGATCACCCGCCATTCTGGTTCTATTTCAGATGACCACAAACAACCTATACAGTACACACAAATGATAAACAAAATGCAATTTCATTAATACAGAATCTCAAATTAAGGTTCACACTAAAGTCTTCCTAAACATTCCACCTTTTTTCTACACAAAAGCTAACAGAACTAGAGGGCACAAACATCAAGATAAAACCTAAACTTAAGCACCATCTCAATTCCAAAATAAACAGATCTTACAGCAAAATAGAACTAAAAATCAGAAACAAATAAAGCAAAAAAGGAAAAAAAGGAAAAAAAAAAAAGTGAGCTTTAAAAAAGCAACAACAAAAGGAAAGAGAAAGGAAGAAACTTGTTCAGACTCTTACCCTCCTGGGATAAAATTCACAACAAGAACCCTTCAAAGTTCAGATCTTTAAAACCTTCACCCCAGATCTCAAACCAAAAAGCCTCATTTGGGAAACAGAGAAAACAATTCAACCCAAGTGACAAAAAGGGCAGTTAAATACCCAAAAGAGATGATTTTGCAAGTGGGAAAAGGGTCAAGAAGCAAATGTGAGGGTAAATCTAAGCTGAGAAAGAGCTTTCTTGCACCAGCCTTGACCACCCTCCAAAAAAATAAAAAATAAAAACAAGCAAAAGGGTGTGGAAGGCACGAATGAGAGAGAATGAAAATCCAAAGAAATGAGAAAAATGTTGGTAAGTTTATTGAGAAGGGTGTGAGGTGGTGGGGATAATAAAAGGAGAAGAAGAGATGGAGTTATCAGCGGTAGGTGACGAGTTTAGATGCCTTACAAAACAACATTACATTGCAAAGTTTTGTATTTTACATTTCATTTCATTACATTACATTGCATTACAGTAAAACTCAAGCTTGGATTTTGATTTGAAATTTAGAAATGCTAAAAGCTCTCTCTCTTCTTAAGATTTGCTCTCAAACTTTCACTCATTATCGCTCATTTATTGCAAGTGAAACACATTCTAACCAAGCAAGTTAACGAGGTACTGTGAACTAGTCACAGTTTTGTAGGAGAGATAGAGAATTTTTCACATCAACAAAAATATAAAATTATTTATGATATTCAGGTAATAATATTTTTTTATGGTTTTAAATTGTGTACTTAAGATGCTTGTTAGTAAATCCTATTTTTTAGTTTTTTTTTTTTTTTTTTTTTTGATGTTATTCTATTGAAGATTACTATAACCAAAAATATTGAATATAAGAAAGTCTTAAGTAAAACGGATATATCGCATCAAATATATGTAAATTAATGGTTTTAAGATACGTAGACGACTGTATATTCTTCTTTTTAGTTTATTGCTTTATTGTCGATATTTTAGTATTTAGATTATTGGTTAAAAAAAAAACAAAAAGATTTATGATGGTCAAACATGTTATTTAAGATTGAAAAGAAATTAGGGTGACTGTTATGATCACTGGAAGGTGAAATTAATTGACGATTTAATTGTTCATACTTCATAATTGGCTGGTCAAATGAAGAGAGATTGTTGTACAATTTTATGATTTTTCAACTAATTTCTATGCTTTTTTTTTTTATTCATAAATGATGTTAATATAAAAATTATGGAAAATATAAATAATGTTACAACACATGTGAAGCATATGGTTTTAAATATTAAAAACGTTTTTCAAGTCTAACTTGTAACTCCTTGGATGAAATCATGGAAGTTTTATAAACTTTATTTGATTGCATTGATTATTATAGCATGTAACATCTTATAAGAAATAAATAAATAAATATTCAAATTTTTAATACAATCTCATCTATAAATAGCAACCATTGAATTATCTTATACCAAAATCTTCACTAAGGATTTAAATCAATTCAATAATCTTCTTGAGGTTCATATATTGGATAAAATGAATGTCTATATATTCGATGTGTCACACCTGCGCTAATCTAACACTTTTTAACACGTGTTGATTAAAATTTTCATTACAGATATAAATTAATTCAATAATGTTTTTAAAGCTTCGTATCTTCGGTAAAACAAATTTTTATATATTTGACCACAATACGAGACATGCATCACTCTGTTGTTGGTATAATTCTTCTCGGCAAGTACTAATCAAATTTTTCATCTAAATTAATTTAACATATATTTGATTAGTCATGACTCGTGAGACGTCTCTCAGGCATACATTATACTGTACATCAATTGTACTAAATATTTATTTATTTATTTTGCCAATACTATATTTTCTTTACCTTTTGCTTGCCTTTTTTTTTGGTAGCCAAAACCCCACCNTGGTGTTGGTATAATTCTTCTCGGCAAGTACTAATCAAATTTTTCATCTAAATTAATTTAACATATATTTGATTAGTCATGACTCGTGAGACGTCTCTCAGGCATACATTATACTGTACATCAATTGTACTAAATATTTATTTATTTATTTTGCCAATACTATATTTTCTTTACCTTTTGCTTGCCTTTTTTTTTGGTAGCCAAAACCCCACCAAATTTATCAAACACATAAAATTTTTAACCCAACTTGTCCAAGAAAGAAAACCTAGATAAAAAAGTGGGCATTAAAAATGGCAAATAATTTAAGTTTTCATCTGGGTCCCCTAGTGTTAGTAGACTTAGCTGCATCCAACATAGAGACTAATTAATTTATAGTAAAAATTATTGCAGCTTAACTGTTGTACGAATTATTTAAGGCAAAAATATTCAAAGGGCCATCTGGAAAAGGTATGGTCAAAGCTTAAAGAGATTTTAATTAACAATTTTGTGTTGGGAGCTTTGGTCCACCCTAGTTTAATTGATAATATTTTTTCATAATTAATGGTTTCATTTTATTGACTAAACTGTGAGAGTTGGCAATTAACTACTTAATTATTCACGAGAATCTTTGTATATCCTTGTCCATATTCATATTCAATTTTACTTTTTCGTAAAATTCACTTTTTTTTTTTTTTTTTATGATCAGGAGTGTTCGGATCAGTTTGTACGTATTTCAACTACTTAAAAATCTTGAAACTATCGACAAAATATAAGCTCCAATAGTTATCCTTATCAGACTATCAGCATATATGAGAACTTGAACTCAGAAGATTATGTAAACCTAGATCTTCCTTTGTTCTTTTACCATAAAACCATAGAGAATTTATCTAATTAAAAAAAAAAAGTATAAATGTATATAATAAAATAAATTTTGATTTTTGTCATAAAAGAATATATATAAACATGTATTAAATAAATGTTTTCACTATGTTTACATAAATATTCTGATAATATGAGACATTCATTCAGTCTTTTTCATGAACTTAAACGTTCATGTACAAATTAACTCAAACATGTATAAATTAATCTTTATTAACGAGAATTAAAGTTTAGATTTTAAATCTGAATTTTAAGTCTCGACCTGAGAATTTTCGACTGGTTTATTGATACTTTCAATAAACGGTAATTAATGAACATAAAAATGAGAAGCCAGAGCTAGTCTATGAGCAAATAAAAGAAGGGGGGAGGTCCATTATCCAAAACCTTATTATATAAAAACCAAAAATATAAAAGGGTGCATTGCATGTGGTGCCAGCACTAGAAGAAACTTATGTTCACCATATTTTATTATTTTGTGACATCAGTAACATGATGCCAAGACTATATAATAAATATTATTAACTCTACCTTCTATCCCATTGCCTAATTAATATATACAATTTCTTGTCTTTTACTATGAAACTGGAAACATCCCTAATTGATCCCTCTACAAAATTTCCAACACCATCTTCCTTGCTAAGAAAAATTTTCAGGGCATCTGTAATTTTTTCAAAACGATATGAAAAAATTTGACTGAAGTTTTGCCATTTAAGAAAAAATTCTTTGATTATTTAATATTTGGTAGAATATGGTGAATGAGATAGTTGAGTTATATTTAAAAATAAATAAATAATCTAAGAGTCTATTATCAACTCTGTTGGGTTGTCTATGTAGCTTGTGATAATAGACAAAGAAACAAAAACAAATAAAAATGTTAATAAAAATTGAAATTGAAATTAAAATTCTCATTAAAGAAAATTCTAGGGTTTAGTTAGTTAAGAGACAAAATTAATTATAATATTCATCAGGATTCCTCTTCTGTCTCCCTTCTTTTTAAGGGATCCTATGCCCTAAATTTGTAGGGGGAAAAAACAATTATTAATGGGCCCTTTAATTTATTAAATTAATTAATAATCTTGTGTACTTATTTGTTTGGCATTTTCTGCTTTCCCGTAAGTTTCCGCTTACAAATTAATTAGATTTCTTATCAGAATTATTATATATTCAATCATAGATGATTCTTTAGTTTAGAAATAGGGTCAAAAGCACTTATTTTGAAAGTGCTTTTAGTGACAGCCGGGAATTTATTAATTTCCTTTGTTTGCAAGGTGCTTGTTCCTAACCTAAAGACATTTTGGATTTTAAAGAAGTCATCTACAGACAATTTGGACAAATGGTCGTTGCATCTAATTGTCCTCTAGATATTAATTTTTTTTTTTTTTTTTTGATTTTATAAATATCGAGTTTTCAAGATTTAGTGTCCGGTGTTAGACTATTTACCGATTAAAAGACTTATGAGTGATTTAGTTTGATATAAAATTTAAATACTGTTTTTGCTTTCTAAAACAAGGAATGCAAATAGTTTTATGAAAATATATTCGGTAAAAATAAGTTAAAATATTTTCAGAAACAGTTTCAAATACAATCTTGAAAATTAGTGTAAAAAACTTATAGTACGACAAAAATGTTTCTCTGTTTTCTTTAGTTTTTTAATCTAAAAACAAAAATTTGAATTGATTTTAGTTTTTGAAAATTATTGTAGATCACATATCAAAATTCATTCTCACATTTTACTTATTTACAACCGTGTAGAAAACTTATATATTTTTCTAACCAAATAGTTAACTATAGATAAATTTTATTTTCTTAAACTTTACTTGAATAAGTCGTATAAACAAAACCAAATATCCCTTGGAATTTGATACCGAAGCTCGAGTCAACTAATTAAAAATCTATTAATTATGTTTTTTTTTTTTTTGACATGTTTATAAATTGATAATAATTAAAAAAATATGAAATAAAATTTTTTCTCATATTGACTCTTGAACATCAATACATTCTAACAATGCTTTAGATGGATTTTCATTTCTAAAAAGATATTTATGACGAAGTGTTCGAACTAACTTACACGCATCTCAAATAATCTCTCAAGACCTTGAAACTATCTGTTGGGTAACAACTCCAGTAACTATCCTTATTAAAAATGAGAGATTCGAACTAAGACTCTTTGAGTAATATACTCAAAAATCTCTATCGAACTGTTGATCACCAGAGATGGATTTTACTTGTTTAGTTAGACATGCATAGTTAGAACTTATTTTAACCACACACAAAAGCACTTTCAAAAGCACTTTAATTTGCAAGAAGTGACTATATCAGATGAATAAATCAATTAATACAAGGCATGATGAGTAATTAAGAGCAGGTGAAATAATAAAAATTCCAAATAGGGCATTGATTTTACACATTTAATTGAGATAATAAAACAAAAGTAACACCTCCTCTATAGATTTAAATATTTGTCTTTTTATTACTTTCTCAATCAAATTTTGAACCCCAACTAACCCAAAATTAAGACCTGAATTTGACCTTTTAAAGCAATCACCAAAATCTAAGGTAACATAAATTAAATCTCAGAAGACATGTAGAATCAAACTTTAAATTGATTTTGATAGAAAGGTTCTTTCATTTTCTCTTTTTACCAATCACTTTTAACAATCCAC